GTGAGTGCAGCTACAGCGTGCGCTCTCAGGACATCATTACCTGCAGTGTTCCCTCAATGAGGACTGAACTAGACAAAAGGACCTTCTCCTACTCCGCTCCTGTTTCCTGGAATATCTTGTAAAAAGACATGAAGCTCTTGACCTTTGACCTCTCTAAGTGATTTTAAACAACTGCTGAACTCATGGAAAAAACCACCGCAGACATGTTCCTGTTGATTTTTTTTATTTTTATATATAATTTCTTCCATTTACTTTTTATTTATATACTTTTATGATTGTCTACTGCTGTCATCTGTGCTCGTTTAAAACAGGTCTCTTTGTAAATGAGTCCTCGAGGCTCAATGAGACTTCTTGTTCTTCTTCTTCTTTATTGGACTTTTCCCTCTGCAGGGGTCTCCACAGTGAGTCCTCCTCCTCTGTCCTCTAAGTCCTCTGTCCTCACTCCAACTACCTCCATGTCCTCTCTAACTGCATCCATATGTCTCCTCTTTGTCTTTTTCCTGCAGCTGCATTTCTAACATCCTTCTACCAATATACCCACTGTCCCTCCTCTGGACATGTCCAAACCACTGTCACTTCTCTGGACATGTCCAAACCACTGTCCCTCCTCTGGACATGTCCAAACCACTGTCCTTTCTCTGGACATGTCCAAACCATCTCAGTGTGTCCTCTCTAACTTTATCTCCCAGTTGTTCAACCTGTGCTGTACCTCTGATGATCTCATTCCTGATCTTCTCCATCCTTGTCTCTCCTAAGGAGAACCTCAACATCTTCATTTCTGACACTTCCAGTGCTGTCTCCTGTCTTTTTGTCCATGTCTCTGTCTCCAGACCATACAACATAGCTGGTCTCACCACTGTCTTGTAAACTTTTCCTTTGACTTTTGCTGACACCCTTTTGTCACAAATCCCTCCTGAAACTTTTCTCCATCCACTCCATCCTGCCTGGACTCTCTTCTTCTCCTCTTTACCACACTCCCCATGTTCCTGGACAGTGGACCCCAAGTCCTTGAAGTCCTGCACCTTTGTGACCTCTGCTCCTTGTAGCCTCACTGTTCCACCTCCTCCCTCTCATTCACACACATGAACTCTGTCTTACTACAGCTGACTTTCATTCCTCTTCTTTCAAGTGCATACCTTCACCTCTCCAAGTTCTCTTCCACCTGTTCCCTGTTCTCACCACAGATCACAATGTCATCTGCAAACATCATCGTCCATTGGGATTCCTGCCTGACCTCATCTGTTAGTTGGTCCACCACCAGAGCAAACAAGAAGGGGCTCAGAAACGATCCTTGATGCACTCCCACCTCCACCTTGAAGCTATCTGTCACTCCTACATCACATCTCACCACTGTCCTGCTGTCCTCATACATGTCCTGCTGTCCTCATACATGTCCTGCTGTCCTCATACATGTCCTACTGCCCTCATACATGTCCTGATGTCTTCATACATGGAATCTGTGCTGCTCTTTCTTGGCATCAAACCATACTGCTGCTCACAAATAGTCACCTCTCATCTAAGTCTAGCTTCCACAACTCTCTCCCAGATCTTTCTGAAAATTTTTCCTCTGGCTCTCACTCAAGACAGACGCTCTCCCCTCCCTCCCCCTGTTTTCCCTTTCCTCCTGCTTCTGCTCTCTGTGAGTCTTGAAGCTCCTGGTACACATCTCTCCAACAAAAAACATTGTTATGGCTCTGACGAGATGGACTTTTAAGGAAACTGACAAAATCTTTTCAATAGAACGACAGGGTCCTGGAGAACCCTCTTCCCCATCCGACACTTACACTGCAGGTTACATCAGAGATCAGATGATCTGTCTTTCAGTTCTCTGTCGGGAGGACGCTGAAAATGTTAATATTTTGGATTTATGATAGCAGGGGTTCTGCTATTTGGCATAGATGGGGTTCTGTTTTATCAACTTGAAAAATACATCGGCAGGAGTTCTGGCCATGGCAAGCTTCTGAATCTGTGTTTGGTTCATGCTATGAGGATCAAAATCAGCTGATTAATGAGCTAAACAATAAGATGGAGACAATTTGTGAGAATTGCAGGTCACTTGCAGCTTTAGGACTCAACAGCATATGGGATCAACCTTGGGAGACTCATAACACAGATCAATGGAGAGGAATACCCATAGATCTGGATATTTGGACCTAGGAAGTTCCAGAAGGACTCAAGGCTGACAAGAAAAAACAGT